AGGCTTCAATTTCAGATGAATAATACTACAGAATTTTGTATTTTTAAGCCTAAAAAAGGAATGAGACAGTGGCTTTTGGGTTGTGTTGTAAGTATCTGACTGTAAAAGATGTTGAAAAAGCATGTGTTTATCATTTATTTTCACGCAAAAAACATGAAGTTAAACGGGCTTTTAGAAAATTGTCTTCGTAGGTTATTATAACCATTTGCGTCTTTCAAGAATTTCTTCAGTCATCATTTGTAGTTATGCACTTGCCAGCAACTGATAATCCTATATCCCATCAAAACACAAGCTTTTCCGAAGGTTATAACTTTTCACAATATAATGATGCTGAACACCAAGAAGTATGACTAATGAAACATGACTTCATAGGTAGCTTGACTGACTGACAAAATCCCCTTCGGACCTCCCACGCAGGTGCATCAGCTCAACTTGTCAAACTTCACAGTACACTGAGAATAGTTGGACAGAAAAATAGTGGCATCAGAGTTGTGAGAAAATAAACAGTTTGAAGATAAAGGTTAGTGCTAACATTTAATCCTTGGAAGACCTCGAGTAGTGTATAAATCTGCGCCATTATGACCGATTTTTAGCTGCCATCAAGAGCCCTCAACCACCGATTCCTATCATCTCGGGGACGGCGTCCAAGCAGTGCAATTCTCCCCACATGGCTCAGACCATCAGTAAGAGACTTCATAGACTGGTGCCACGTCTTAGTATGGCCATCCTGAACCGTCTTCCAACCTAGTCCGGATTCCCGTAGCATGGCACGTCGAGGTAGGCAGTGGCTGGGCATGCGCAGCACATGCTGAAGTCATCTCAGTTGACTAAGGTTCACAACTTCACCAATTGACTTATCCGTCCTGCCTATTACCCTCCGCTTGATCTCAGCATTGCTTACATGGTGATTCTACTGAATGCGAACAGTGTTGCGAAGAAAAAAATGATCAACAAACCTGTTACTTAGTGCTAAAAAACCAGAATCAGGAATGGAAAGTAGTTGCGTAATAATCTTTTGAACAATAGAAATAACGAGGAAGGCAAGGAGTTTCACAAGGTGGAAATTATTGGTAGATAATGAATGTGAATATTGAGTATCCGCTTGATAGATGTAAAGAAGATGAAGAATGAGACTAGAGTCATAATGAAGGTGATAATTACAAACTAACTAATTATAATGAAGTCGAAAATGTGTGTTAAGGTCATGGTTAGATAAGAGATTGAACATACTTCTTTAGCACACAGAGATCAGGTTTGAATTGATGAATCGCCAGTGTTTCCGCCGTGCACAACTGTCGAATGCGTACTCCGTTTGAACTGTTCCATTTGACTTGATAAATGACACTGAAGAAGGATTCTGGTTGAGCTATATGTCCAGACTTGAACTGTTAGTTGATTTATATTCTCCCTTCGACAACCATGCAGGATAGTACCGAGAGATACGTTTGGAAAATGTGCTCTATGTGCGGTCTATATGACCTGTAACCGCTTCATGTCTTCTACTTCTAACGGCCATGTCTCGCAGCTGTATAACAGGACAGAACGAACTGCAGTGGAGTGTATTGGTCCTTTGATTCACAGTCAGATATCTCGCTGGTGCCACAAATGACCCGAATCTGTAAATGCCAAACTGGTCTTTTGTATCCAAGCTGAAATTTCGTTACCAGTCAGCCCTTTGGGACCGATGTAACTTTCTAAGTAAGTGAAGTGGTCAACATACTACACCACCTTACTCCCTACCATTAATCTTGTAGTGCTTGGATCAGACCAGTCCTGGAGCATCGTCTCACATTTGGCATACGCTAGACGCACGGAAAACACACTCAGGTTTCTGCTCACTGCGTTTAGAAGACTTTGCAAGTCAGCCAAGTGATCTCCAACAAGTAGATCAATCCCTGCGATGCTTCTGTCACCTGAAGTTATGTCCATTAGTACGCCTGTGATGAAGTTAAATAGAAACTGTGATAGTGGACATTCCTGTCGAACACCTCTAGTTGTCATCATTTCACATGACAACTCTCCATAAACACTTACATGGCTAGGTGAGTTGGAATAGCGAGCTTTGGTAGGCGTTATATACTTTCGGTACTCCCTTCACAGTCAGATATCGCCATAACAACGGACGGTAGACCAAGCTGAATGCCGCCTTCAGGTCAAGGAATATGACAGGTGTTGGCCACTGGTTGGTGTGTATGCCTGTGTTCCAGAACTTATTGTAAGGTAAAAGTAAGATCCATGTAACCTCATTCAGGTATAAAACCTGCTTGGTTTTCTCGAGTTTTCTGTTCTCGAGCTCCAGTTAAGCGTCAGATAACTATGGAGCGTAGGATCTTAGACACAATATTAGTCAAACTAATTCCCATACGGTTGTCATAAGTAGATTTATACCTTCTTACAGACTGTGATGATCGGTGAAGTACATCAGTCTGATGGTACTACCTCTGATTATCGTACACTAACAAGTTCCTCCACTTTAATTAACAATTCCCTACCTCCATCCTTGGAAACTTCAAGCGGCAAACTGTCAGGTTCGGCTACTTCCCATCGTTTCAGGTTGGATACCGCTTTCTCAGCTTCTAGGAAAGTTGAAGGATTGAGACCAGGTTCATTTTGGATGTTGGGCAACTGAGGTGTTACTGAGGACCAGTTGAACTGTGCTTCAAAGTGTTCTGCTCAACGTTCTAGCTATTTGTTCTGGGAGGTTGTCAGCGCCACATCCTTTTTGATGCTGGTGTCGTTATCTAACTTGTATACCTAATAAGCCTAAATAGTTGCCGAGTTTTATCCAACACTGATGCCCTATCCATCTCTATCACGTTCGCCAACCACTACCGCTCCTAATCGACTTGAAGATTCATGTTTAACTTACATTTAAGTTACTTTTGCTCTTCGTCGTGGTTAGAGGCAACTGAAATCAGTCTTTTCTCATCAGTCAATTCAGATGCCGATGGGAAAATCCATTGACGTTTGTTAACCTTCGGGTGTAGGTTACCAACTGTCCTTACCGCTGTTTCTACAGCAGATTGAACAACATCCCAGGTTTTTCCAGGATGAGCACTGGTGTCATGTTTAGATAGATGCTTAGCTAAATCCTTATATACGTACTTGATGTTTTCATCTTCCAATCGGCCATTGGCAGGCTTTACTATTTTTTCTGTAACCAGTAATTCACTGACACAAGAACTCGTACTAACGCGTGGGCGGAGTTCTAACAGGTACTCCAGAAAGAGCTGCAATCCTCCCCCGATGGGTTATAGCAATGTGATCTGTCTGTGTACATCGTTGGTTTGATGTCGGTGGAAGCCATGGAAGACAGTGTCTCTCCTCATGTCTAAAGTTAGTAGCGGCTGTTGATTAATATCCAGTCAAGAAGCGCACTTTCTGCCTTACAACTCAATGCTATGTCTACACTAACGAGTCCACAACACCTAACCATTGGGTCTTCGGATACTCATAAGTTAAATTTGAAGATTTATCACTAAAGCCAGGTGAGATCGATTTAACAACCACACTGGGCTCCCGTATACGTGTTTCAGAGATACAGCATACATCCATGGCTAGAGACTTCAGAGTTTTGGCGAGCGATGCTTGCTGTCCGATTTGGCGTAGAGTTCGGACGTTTAAATCTTCTATATAAAATAGGTAGTGGGGTCTTCGGAGACTAGGGATGAGGCTTCAGTTGGTTTGATCGTTGGCGTTGGTCGCAGCATGAGAGGTTGGGGAGGGTGTGAACTTTTTAATATATTCCCATTAGAAAGGCAGCATAAGCGTGGCACTGCTGGTGATCCAAGAAAAACACTTTACTGCTGTCACACCCCATTCATCTAGCAGCAGCGCAACTTCTCCCTCAGGCCCCCCACTAGTGGTAACTGCTTTTTGTGTTGCCACTATCCAACAGGGCTTTCTGGCATGGTAGAACCTTGACTGAACAAGCGTCTCATCCAGTGTTGCTCGTCGGGTCATTGTGATATGCAAGCCCGACCACCACGTCAAGGTAGTAGCTTTCTACCCGATAGATAACTTACCTTCCACTTACTCTTGTATGACCTAGATTACTTATACTGACACAAAAGGATAACAGTATGTGGCTCAATAGAATCTTGTGTGAATGGTATTTATTGAAATCATGAGAACGGATGTGAGTTCAGTTTAGTGTCAAAAAAGGTCGTGTGACCCTGCCCTTAACGCAACACCAGAACTTATCCAAGGAACTGGTGAGTGGCATGTGTTACTGTAACTATATGATAGCTTTTTAGATCCAATTCCTCACTCCTCTTATCCTTCGCTACTTTATTTCATCAAGTGCAACCTGCTATAGTCTTGCTGCCTGATTTGGGTACATAACTTAGGCTTTTTATCTTCTCAATTCTTTTACTTCACGTGACTTCTTTGTGTAACAATAAAATTTATTGGCCCTTTTGTAGGGGCTCTAGTGTATATTAGTCACTGCATGTTTTTTAAAGCTCAGTACATTAAGGCGGTTATGGTATTACTTCATTGCTATATTTGTTGATACAAATATTGATAAGTTTCTGCCTTTCATTGCAGCTGATCAACGTGAAAGTGAACGTTAATAGTGTTAACATCCTAAGAAGCTGAAACCATTTTGTTTATTAATTTTTCCAATGAAAAATTCATTTTCTGAACGCATGCATACCTCGGATGAAGAGGCTAAGCTTCAGCGATTAAAACACAACCTGATTCATGAACTCGTAACTTCAGAGATTAAATATATAAGTTATCTTAAGAAAGTTCTTAAGGTAGGTTTATGTTGTTTCATAATTGTCTTAGTACTTCGCAAGACCATTGATTGATCGCAGGTACTTGCCAGAAGACATACATGCTGAAATATTTGGACGCTTGGTGCCTATTTTAAGTGTTAACGAAACTCTTCTGGAGTCATTTTTGACTGTTGGAATGAGAAAGCCTTCTTAAAAATTTCCCCATGCCTAAAATTATATGCAGATTATGCTCGTCGCTATCAGACAAATGTCGTCTTTATGGAGGTAACTCGCAATTGTTTACATTTTTGCAGTAATCAGAGTTAATTTAAACACTGTAACTTCATGATTGTAACCTGTGAACAAAAAGTAGATGTGTGTTAACACCTATTACGTTGATGTTTATCAAAATATCAGAGGAACATAGATAAATTATGATGTGCATTGATGCTGGAAATTTGGTTGTCGTAAATTATCTTTCCATATTTCGCTGGTCCATTCACCATATTATTTCCCAATTATCATCTTCTCATCAATTTAAGCGCATAGAGCTTCTCATAGACAATTGGGGAGTCAAGATTGGTGGTCCCAACTACTGACGAATTGTGGTAAAAAAAGATTAGAGGTCAAAACGACTTTATCTCTTACCAGAAGGAAATAAATTTCAGAATTTTATTCATTTTCCTATATAGTGGAGAATATTTGTAGCTCAGGTGGATGGTCTTGGTTTTCCTATATGCTTTTCTTGTCGTTTGTCTCATAAACTAAAGTAACTTCGGCGAAGTCAATGATCGAGGTTTGAGTATGCATTTGACATATAAGGCCACTTGGTTCTGTAATACATTAGGACCCGTAAATGAATTCATGATGCACAAATGAATGTTATCCCTGTGCAAATATCCTTTAGCTAAATATGCTGTCTGATGATAGATCACTTCAATATCTTCCTCGTTGAGATTTTGTATCACGAAACAGTATTGGGCACAAAAACTACCGAGCCGGCCTACTTCAGATGTGATAAATCGTCTGATACAGGCTTTGTAATATAATTGAACCTAATAGTTTTTCATATTTTTAAGCTTCACATAACGGTTTTACTGTATTTAAACTTATAAACGGTACAAATTATGAAACTTATCATTGATCAATGACCAATCGTTTTCCAAACAAGATGTTGGTCTAGTCAAATTCAGTTCTTCGGTGTTTCTTTGTTATCCATTCTCAGTGTTTTGAAGGTCTTCACTTTAAGTATGAAAGGGTGTAAATTGCTTGGTATTTTACTGTGAAAATAATATGGAATTTGATGTAAAATGTTCTAATGACTTATTATGACTCAATTAAAGTTAGTCTTATTTATGTTTCTTCGAATAAATGTTTTTGGGATATAAGTAGTACAAAGCCGTTCCGACTAATGTTAGGTGGCTGGTGAACGCTATAAGTTTAGTAGACTGTATTAAAATGTACTCTTTTTGTACTTGATCATCAAAGGAAATTCCTGGTACTTCTAACATTGATAATCCTATGATGGTATTTCTCGCAGGGTAGGTTTGGTTATGCATTTATTTTGAGCAAAATGTTAAAATCAGATTTATTTACTGTGCAGTATTATAATTTATCAGAGTTCTGGCGCATTTTTATTATGATACTTTGTTTTTTTCTGCAGACATGCGTTGCATTCAAACCTGGGCTACTTGAATTTATAAATAAACAGGAGAATATGCCCGAAGTTAATCTGCAGCTCTCAGCGCTCTTAATAATGCCCATACAGCGTGTACCCCGGTACGTCTTTGATTTATAGGATGCTTAGTTGATTTCAAACCTAGTAAAATACCTTTTCTAAGTTTTAGTTAAATGTTAACTAAGGGTAAAACTTCAGATCGAACACTATAACCAAGATCCAATGTAAACAGATAAACTGGGAAGAGAGAATACTAAATATATGTTACTTTTTTCACCATGAGATATGTAATTATTAGGAATCCTGGGCTATTACGTTATCTTGTGTATAATTATTGCGTAGACACATCATACCATCTACGTTAACAGTGCATCACCATCCTGTCAAAAAGTCCGTTGGGTCAGAATCCCGTTTACAACAGAAACCGTTACCTTGAGACCTAGTAGTAGATCCACTTGTAGACTGTTGAATCGTAATTGGACTTATAACACTTCACAATTAGTGTATACAGAATGTGTCATGATCTGACTAATAAAAAAAATCCTGTTCTCAACAATTACCGTTAGTTTTACACCCTACTGCACCTGAACTTTAATCCTAAACATCTATTAATCTAATTTTTCTCCAGGTATTCCTTACTGCTTCAAGAACTTGTTACTATTTACCTTCAGCTAGATGGTTTAAGTAATACAGAGGCTAATGACTGTGCTCTTAGTATCATGCAAGCTGCTCATCAACATACTATGATACCAGAATACGCAGCCACACTTATTTTAAAGTTATGGGATAATCATAAACAACGGCATTACAGCATGCCATCTCATGATTCTAATTTTCCAGTCTTACAACGTTATATTCATCGAATGAATGCCTCTACAATAATTCTAATGGCAGGTTTTGCTAGCATTGTATCAACTGCAACATTTTTAAATGAACAAATCAGAGTAAGTGAACAAGCAAATAAAGCTGCATTACTACAATCAAGACTTCTTGGAAAATGGTCTCATAATCTGATTTTAGTACCTGGGCGGAAACTGCTAAAGTATGGGCTGGTAAAAAAAGTGAGTTTAGTAGATGTCTTTAATTACTGTATTCATATACTGAAGTACTAACTCTTATGTAATTCCTTCATAAAAATCAGTTATTTTGTTTTTTAACGTTCTTCAGTGTTTTGTTGCGCAAGAGTTCAATTTTGAAAGGCGTCCATATTTAGCTCAATTTCAAAATTTATTGAAAGTTTACTTATGAGAGTAAGCTGTATGAACAAGTGGTTTTATCTTAGCTCGGTTTGGATGCAAATACTTTGCTTGTTATAACGTGAAACATCACGAAGACCAGCCGTACTTAAGTAGATTTACACATCCAAACCACAAATGGTAATCTGTATTATATTTTCCTCATGCCAAATATATGTATAAAATGGTCTGTTTCCTTATAGAAAAACTCACTCGATGGAATCGCTGAACCTCGTTTACTCGTGATAATGTCTGATATATTGATATATGCTACACCACGATCTCAAACAGATTTGGAATCTATTTTCAACAACAATTTTATTCCCGGTCGTAAATATCCCTATGTTTTAAAATTCTTTGGGGGTAGAAAGAATCTAAAGTGCACAAAATTCACCCGAATGCTGAATAACACAGATCCATTGGTTCAATTTTCCAATTATTCAAAGTCAAATTGCTCTCGTAATTCTGCTACACAAAGCCTAGTCGATTCGGACGACTGTTTGACGGATAGCAAAGTATGCTTTTCGTGTGTTGCTGTCTATCCCCTTCATCATTGTCATGTCCAAATTCATTTTAAACCTCCATCGACCTTTTTGAAACCTATTCCTGAATCTCCTGAAAGCCAGTCAATTAAATATGATTCAGTATTCGTTTCCCCTGGCCTTGCTGAGAATTTCGGTCGTAAGTGAATTGTAGTTTTTTTGGTAACTTTTCACACTGACAACCAGTTTTATTTTCTATTTCAGGTTTAAAGTAATCACTAAGAGCGTGAAGCATCTGATGAGAATCTAGACTAAATTTTAAATGCTCTGTTCATATATTGGCCACACTGCCTATCATTACTGTTCGTTTTGATATAAACAAATATATTATTTATTATTATCAGCATACACTGAATAGATTAAACAGAGGAAATATAACAAGAAATCGAGTTGAAACAGAATATCAGGCGGGAAGTGGACTTTATTCAAATGAAATATGAACACAACTTGTCATTATGTTATATTAATATTGGCGACTAGCAGTGGAACCCAAGATGTGCGTTTCGTCCTATTCGGGACTAGTCAGCTGGATATACCTGCACCCCAGTGAATAATGTTGTTCCCAATAAGGCTCTAGCCCAGTACACTTCGCTTCAAACACCAGAGCGTTATCCAATAAGCCACTAGGGTGCGACAGCCCTAAAAACCTAGTATTATTTTTTACTACGTCTTGCTGATCTTCATTACTACATTTTTTATAATGTTACTCCATTTTGAAAGAGAATGGTAATAACCAACTGTCTTTGGGAAATGAATATCGTTAGAATGGTGGTCTAAAACTTTTGTTTTTGTTACAAAGTAATTTTAAGTAGTTGGTTTTCGGAATTTAGATGTTATTCATTCCAGTCAGTTTGGCTGGTGGACATGGATCATCCACGAAATTACTAGAAATATTCATTAAGGTACACTTAAATATTAGGTTTATTTACCATGGAGTTTAAGATAAACAGTGAATTTCACATTTTGGACTTACAACTTTGACACAGAAGAATTGTATCATATCAGAGATCTGTCTACAGAGGAAAAATATGAAGTAAACAGTCGCTTCATTTTTATAGTTTTTGTCCTATAAGTTATAAGCAAGGACTAGTCAAAGCACATTTTCGTAGGGCTAGAAAGCTTTGTTCACTAGACATAAACTAACTAAAGCAATTCATTCTATTAAGAGAGGTCGAGGAGAAAATGTGTATCCTCAGAGGTTTATCGATTCAGTCAAAGCAAGAACAGCAGAAGCAACTTAACTCGATAATCCTGAGAAATCTATGTTTCTCCGTCTGACTTTCAAGAGGGTGAATTGATGAACAGGATTATTAGAGAACTGTACTAAAAATCATTTTCCCAGCAGTTAAATTGGTCTTCTTATGCAAAATGAATTGTTCGCCAACAATCGGAAAAGTTGAAAGTTTTCCCGTTCATTTCACCTCAGATTGCATTTTCGAACCCATGAATAATTTGAGGTGAATGGGGATTTTAATTTTGAGGTAGTATTGATCATGGACTGACATCAGCTGAAGAGCCATTGAAAACCTGAGAGCACTGGACGGCTATCTTGTCTCAGTATAAGACTCCTCGACAGCACATACCCACTATCCGGGTAGGGCTCGAACTCAGAACCTTCAGGTTTCACGGCTTACGCATTAATCATTCAGATGCTGGGTCAGAGTTCTCAGTCGACCCCTACCCGGGTCGTTGGTGCGTGCTGCTGAGGAACCCCACCTTAGATGAAACAGTTGTCCAGTGCTCTCAAGTTTTCAATGGTTCTGCAAGTGATGTCATTCTGCGGTGAATACTATCTTAAAATTAAAATCCCCATTCACGTCAAAATATAGTAGTGCATGGTTCTCATCAGTGACATGCTTTCAGAAAGATATCACGAAGTTCTAATGAGAAACCGTGATCTGTGTAGCCAACCAGTCGGAAGGGAAGCGGATGCCAACTGAAGACCTCTGTGGGTTGTTGTGCTATATCGCGAATTAACAGAAGTTGGAAACTGTGAACCACTGAAGTCCTTGGCTCATGCATATTTGTCAGAGCACGTACATTGTAAGTTTACAGAGAATGGTTGAATTTCGACTTCATGAACATATTCCAAATAAGTTGGGTGTAAATGGTGCAAATTATCTTAGAAGTTCCTCTACCAAATGTTTGATAGATACATATCTTGAGAAATGTAAAATAATCGGTAAACACAATAATGCTAATTAAGATTTATAGGAGCAATTGCTTTCAGAAGAAGAACTTGTGTATTCCTAAGGAGGCAGTTGTTAACCTTCAACTTTCGTCTTAGCCACTGATTTTGTTTCTTAGTAAGCGTAAACCCCCAAATGTTTCTAAATATTAATTTTTTGTATAGTGTTATCCCTTTTAACAAATGATTTTACAATAAATTTCTGTTTTATTTACACAATTTTACTATCTGATGCAAACCTATTTGACCTTAGCTTAAGTTCATTTGTTAACGTTGTATTCACATCATTAACTAATTACATACACTTACATAATCCCTTTAATTCCATTTTTCGTTTTGTCAAACTTAACGAAATCACAGTCTGATTATATAAACACTGGGTATTTTTGGTTTTAGGCACAAAAATTTATTTCATCCTAACTGAATTAATCTTTCATTGTCTTTCATTAATTTCCCATCTTCCTATCAATATCTAGGGCATTTAGATTACATTTCTCTGTATATGCTGATTCTGAGCCTCCTAATTTAGTGGCTACATTGCAGATTTGATTGGCAGGATTCGATCTGCACTCAGGACTAGACAACATGAAGCTGGTTGCACTCCCGTGACCAACCAATACATGTAACCCAGTCCTATAGGAGGTCAATCGCGGCCCGAATAGCTCAGTGGTAAAGTTGTTGACTACAACACTGGGTGAAACGGGTTTGAATCTCAGGTGGGACATCAGTTCCATCGAGGCTGCAGATACGAGTGCTGTTGAAAGAAGACAATGAAACTCTATAAATTAGTCATATTCTGCTGAATTTGTTGTTCTTACTGTCTTAAAATTTCTGAGTGGAGCCAGTTGTATGAAATGATATTTGATTCACCTTAGTTAATGAATTAATTTTCACGTTGCACCGCAGTAATCTAAAGTACGGATTTTTTCAGATCGCACTGCATCTACACCACTGGTTTTTGATGAATGTTCCTGTGAAAGTAATTCTATCGTAAAATTCGAATCTAATTCAGTCATGATCTCAAATGAAGATGAATGCATATCGAAGCATTCGAAGTCGTTGAATGAATACAGCTTTTCTGTAAGCTTTCATTGTTCTTAGATAGGTTTTTTGTACAACTGTACATAATAAAAGCATTAAGTTTTTTATCAGCTAAATTATGCCCTAATTTTTTTCCTTCGAATACGTTGTATTGTAGTGACAAACTTTATTATGATTTTGAGTTCAATTATATTTGAAGCAGCAGGAGAAAGTGAAAATGTTACTTCACTTATTTACTTACCTTGAGTTGTTGTTTTGATCACAAATTTTTTATAAAATGAGCACCAAGAGATGTGCTATACAAAATAATGAAGCAACATTATTAAGACACAGAAAATAAAAGAAAGAATGGAGATGAATAAAGCTGGGTTATTAAAGAAGTAATTCGAAGGATACATCCCAGGAAGCATTCACTACTCTCGTTTCACTTTTCTGCAATAGAAATAGGAAAGCTGCAACGTGATGGCGAAAAGCTCGGATTATAAATTATTTATATGTTGTGGTGTCAAACCACTGAGCTACATGATTTCTTGGACCCTATTCAGGAAGTGGTCGGGCACTTGGAGATATTAACGCAAGATAAACATCTTCGAGTTATGAGACATCCTTATTTTTTACAAAATCAGCTGACAAGTGTACTTCACTTCCATATGAATTGATGTATTTTGGTACCGTGTCATTTGGCTTTTTAAGTAATGAATGATCTTATGTTACTGTGTATTAAACTAGTTGAATGTGTCTCCTGTCATCTCATTGAAGGACTCCTACTAGAAAATTTTTTTTGCCACCAGTCTTACTTTTTAGTTGTAAAGTTTATGAAGAAATCAAAGTTAAAATTACGCAGTTGATTTACTTAATACTCAAGCTTACTTTAAACTGCTCTTCTACTTACTTTTATGTATGACATAATTTCTAAATTCTGTTAGTTTTACTGATAGTAAATTTGTTAACATTAACACATTTGCTGATAATTAATCTACCCCTCTAATTGTTTATGCGTTAGATGTGGCTCATTGTATTGAACATTTGAATTCGTAGTAGTTGAGTTCTAGGTTTAATTGTCAACTAATGTACTTCAACTTTGACTAGCGAGTATTATTATAAGTCTTGACGCAACAATTGTCAATCATAGGTTGGGATATTAACACATATATCAGATTTAATTACATTGTTAGTTATTCTTCCAATTACTTATTCAAAATCATGTTCATGTATCACATTCAGTGTAACTGAAATTAGTTTCTTGATATTAAAAATTTGATATTATTGGGTATTTGATTTCTTGCAGAGATTATCAGAGATGAAATCTTGTGTAGTTTTGATAGCCAACTTTCTCCCAGCAAAAGAATTGAATGTATTAACGAGACCTTCATAGACACCTGGACAGGTAATAGAGGTAGCTCCATTCATTGTAACTACAGTTTCTTACCTACATTTTAACGCATCAAATATATATATTTATTTTACTCGAGTATATCACAGGATGCTGATCACCAAAATGTCGATTTCTAAATGGTAACTGAAGTCTATAATGTCACGTTTAGGTCGGTAAACTAGGTGACACAACACTATACTAGACGTTATTTGATGTTAGACGTTTATAGTTAGAGGTTATTGGTGGTTGTCACCTAATATTTAAATCTTTTTCCCCCTCAAGTGATCCTTAGAAGTTGGAATAATTTTTACTGCTTAATGCAATTTATGCTTGTAAAGTTTTGATTTCCGTTGTATTATAATTTTTTTTCAAACGAACCTAGTTCCTCATACCTCAGGAATCATTTATTTTGTAGGTTCATTGTCGTGATGCTAGTTTTACAATTGTTACTGAAACTTTATCAAAAGCTGAAGATTGGATATTAGGTCTGCAAACAGCCATTCAGTAAGTTGTATTGTTCATCTTTATAATGTAATTCATCATAATAGTCTTGTGAGATAAGCACATTCAGATAGAAGTATCACAAAAACTGGTAATAAACTTTCAATTCGTTTTGAAGTACTAAGATGTTTAATAGACACGCTACTGGGAAAAATGAATAAACTGGTTTGAACTTTCCACCCATGTTCTGAATTTTAATCTACCATCCGTTGAGAGGGTGACCAATTCAGTGTTGGAAGTCCTATAGTTATGCATGACTTTGGTAAATAGTGAGAATTATCTAGGCGAATGAATAAACCTGTTTGTTGACAAAAATGTTTATTTTAGTAGATTGTTTTAAATATTGGTTAACAGTCTCTTCACAAGTAATAACACACATCATCATGGTGAGTAAATTGTTTCCCGAACGATGTTCCATAGATGTCTAACACATCTGACAAAATCTATTATATAGCATATCAAATAACTGCTGCATTTGACTTGTGTTCATCAACTGGAAGTTTCTATCCTAAGTTAAGCATACTAAGTTCTTCTTGCCTAGACTGTTTCGGTAATTAGATTTTTAACTTCAGTAAGAACTTTAGGATGAAACATCTTTTTTATTTGTTATGTGTCTCATTTTATTACTATGTTTATATTGCATCTTTGATTTATCTACTTATTTATTCAATCGATGTGATGCTACAGGTTATTTGTACACTTATTTGGTTGTTCTTTTACATTGGTTTATATTTTTAGAGCAGTTAAAACGGCACGACAGAGTCTTAGGAAAGAAAGTAGTGCTAAATGGCCAATGCGTGCTTCAGATTTTATTCAGTTTGAACAATGGTTGGAACAAAAACGCCTAGTGGAAGAGGTATGCAGCTTTTGTTTTGGTGATCGTTCTACGTATGGTGTTATGATTACAGGATTAAAATAGACTTTATTTTATGAACATGTATAATTATTTTTTCTCATTTAGCGTATATTATTTATTTAAGGCTGATGTGCTGTCAGCAAAAGATCGACTATGTGTTGCTTGGGCCTTATTGTTATAGTTTCACCTATGTACAGTAAATAGAAGATTGTGTGTGAAACCTGGCTACTTGTATAGAAGCGAAAGACTACTTTTTTTCAACATCCTTCTTTAAGGGGGAAGATTTGTGTAATTTGTAGGTATAACTTTTCCTTACATCTCTCGGATATTTATAGGAGAGTTGCTGATACTTTCTGATTGAATTAAGGTTATCAAATACCTTTTTTTTTAATATGATCAGGTAGTTTTATTTTAGTTGCCTATTTTATGTAAATATTGCTGCCTGTACAACAATAGCATTTTATACACATGTTACTGATTTTGAATGTATGTAACACTTCACTCATAGATATGCTAGTGGTATGCTTATTTAAGCATAGAAAAAGATCTTTTTCAAATTCCTATCATGAAAAGTAATTAGTGTTATTGCTTGCATTATACCGTCGTTGATTGGACCGAATTGATCAGTCTCTGTTGGCAGATGGGCTCCTGAGTGGATGCCTCGATATTGCCTGTGTTTTTAATTTTATAGTAATGATGGGTAGTAGCTAACAGTGAAATTCAGGATGTACATTTCGTTCTATTTAGGATTCGTTAGCTGGATGTACTCGGTTGGAACAACATCACTCACTAGGAGGTAAGAATACCCAGCTGACGAGTCCAAAATAGGACGAAATGTGCATCCTGGATTCCACTGCTAGCCACTATCCATCATTAATATATGAACAATAATTGTCAGATAAATGGCTCGGTCTGGCATAACTCGACTTCGTTCTGTCATTCCGATCTAATGTACAAGTGTTGTTATGTTGTATCACTGGACTATACTAGGGTTACTTGATTACTACTTTCAGTGGTTTAGTAGGTTACAACTCAGAAGTTCACTTATCATAATATTTGTATAAACTTTTATTCATAATTTTAAATATAACTTTCACATGTGCAGCAACTCCAAACTATACGTATATGTGAATGACTAAACAATTAGATTTATTAAATCGACTTTGATGTTATTGACTTTAGTCTGTTAGGTCTTTTCAAATCTTTGAAAGTATGGGAATGCATGAACTTGCTGATGATAATGGTCTCCCATCTTTAAGTGTGTTTGAGTCATCAAAAATGGAACGCAAACTTGAAGAATATCGTAAACGTAAATCTATTGGCTGTGAAGATGAAAAGGTCAATCGTCTTTCCTATTTATTTTGTGAAACTGGAAGTTATGAGTTTAATCCTAAGCAGTCAAAGTGTATGAAGAAATGTGGAATATCACTGAGCTCAATTATATCCAGAATTAGAGGATTTAAACTGAATGACCCCACAGTAAGTTGATTTCCATATTATCCTGATGATGCTTTTGTGAATAGTTGTGCTTCATTTTACATTATTTTAAGAAACTGACTTCATGTTTATTTTAATGGGTTAAATATATGGGACAGGATACTTAAGTGTGTATTATATATAATCAATTTTCTTTCCAATACAATTTTTCCTCTGTATTGTAACCACATAGTTTTGGCTACGAGAAGCATATTTCCTTCATTTATTTCTATTAAGTCCCTTAAGGTTTCTAAGTTACAATGCTTTTTCTGTTGTAGCATTCTGGTTTTTTAATTGAGATTTTCTATAGATCGGTTTCGACCTATTTTCCTTGACTAATGAGTGTGCCGCTTATCTAATGCTATTGGATAAGGGAAAGTATATGCTTTTGTTGGATGACATCACAGTTACAAGAGTTCGTCTAAAAAACTATCAAAGATATGTTGACACTATATTTATCTTACTGAACATATCTGCATATTCTGCATTCAGCTTTCATGTGTTCGGTATGTTTTTAAAGGCAATCTGGAAGTAATGCTTAGAAACCACAGAACTCAAATACATTTACACTAATGTTTATTGTAAACTACTCCAACTTTCCTTTCTATAATCAAATAACAATTGCACTCACCAGTAAAAGACCAACAAAGTATATATTCAAAATAGAAGAATATGTACATTAAATTAGGATTTTTTTACATTGATAAAAATATGCTAGCGTGTCTCAATTGACTCTTAAGAGCTAGAAGAAACTATTTAGAAAGTCAGCCAAAAACAAAGTAGGAGAAAAAAGGCTAAAGTACCACGAAGCTTTACACAGCGACGACAAGAATATTAGTGAAGAACTGGTGAGTGGGTGGATGCGAGAAAAACATTCATTGACTAGGCATATATTACTCAGATTTGAAGTTTGACATACACAAATTCAATAATAGAATAATCGTTTAGTTGGTTGAAGATTTAAAACCTATTTTATTATTATTATTATTTATTAGTCCCTTGGGTTCCTAGTGGAACATAGGGCTTCAGTAGCACGCCTCCAGTGACCTCTGTTCTCTGAGATCTTTTGAACCTGGTTCCACGACAGCCCAGAAGCTCTCATTTCCTCCTCGCATGACCTCCTCCATGTCACCCTCGGACGTCCAACTCGTCGCTTCCCATGGGGATTCCACTCGAGTACCTGGCCTGACGCGTGATGTCCTCAGTCGGCCTTCTCAGTGCATGGCCAATCCATCTCCACTTCTTCCTGCATATTTGTTGGGTGATAGGTTCTTGGTTGGTTCGTTCCCAGAGTTCCTTGTTGCTTATTTTTTCTGGCCATCTGATCTTCAGCAGCGAGCGTAAGCAGTTGTTGATGAATGTCTGTAGTTTATTGGAAATGCCTTTCGTGACGCGCCAAGTCTCTGTTTATATATAAACTGTCTTAGGTATTTTCAATTCCTTTCTGAATACTTCTTTCCTTTGAAGATAATTTTATTCTAATTGTCTATCAAAATATCATATTCAACTCTTCCCATTAACGCTTTTTTGTTTTATTTAAATACTTAAACATTTTGGACGTCATTAGAACTGAGAAGAACTTTTTGTTATAAAGTATACTAATAATTATTGCCTAAAAAAGAATTTTTCTGAATGCAGAAATGTAACTTTAGCAAACCCAGAATAACAATTTGCAGAATACTATGAGTTCACTTCATTTTGTCGCCTTCTTTTCAACTGAGTAAAGGCCATAAAACCATAAGGTATACATAGAGAGAAGTACAATCCTTATAATAAAAGAATTGATACAGATGAAGTTGAAGTGAAATAATTTATCATTACTGAAATTGAAGTTATTTTATGTTTATGTAGTCAGATTGTCATCTTGCTACATGTAATCAAATAAATCTCCACAAACCCCCAAATTAAACTGATCTAGTGCTCATTGATGACTAGCTTCGAGAGGTGATTCCTGAAGTTCCGCTGAGAAGTCATGACTGGTGGGAAAATTGGCGGCCACGAGGGCAAATACTCAACGATGACATTGGGTGAAGCTCGCGCTATGTCGTGAACTGATAGAAGTCGGAAATATGGATGATTGGGAAGTCGTGGGGCCAGAGAAGAGAATGCAATAGAGGCATGCTACTGAAGCCCTATATTCCACCAGGAACCCAAGGGAAAAGTAATAAAGACAATATACTGAAATTGAAGTTACCTTATGCTTATGTAGTCAAATTGTCATCTTTCAACATGTAGCCAGTCAAAAAATAGAATAGGAATCATTACGTAAGTGTATGTGATGAGTCAATGATATAAATATATGGTCAGCATTTTTTGCGTGGGTCAAGGCCAAGTCAACCTTGGTCAACTAGTAAGTTGATGGAGATGTAATAGGAATCGATTGAGAAATTGGTTGTGAAAGGGGATGAAAATGCAGATTTTTGGAAGAGGTCATACTGAGTAACAAAAAAAATCAATGCCTACGATGTAAGTTGGAGGCTAACGACCGCCCCTTTTTAAATGGATAAATCCGGTTTAATTCTTCTGATGAAAACTGCTTCTTCAAATCTTGGTAACGGAGCATTGTTTCGTTTGTTAATTATTTTAAATGCTGTCAAGATCTAGACGTCAATTCCTGTAATTTAGTGTAATCTAACTTTTGTTAATGTTTACATAGTTTGTTAGTTAGTGCTTGTAAAGTGTTTCAGGATTGTACTTGAGTTATTTTATTTGAAAATTTAACACTTCATTATAGGTTTGGCTTTATGATTATGGAATCGTTTTTTTGTTTTTTAATTTTCGTTAGAGTATCTGAAAGCAAAAAGTATTCACCTCCCTTTCTTTGTCGTAATGATGAATGAAAGGGTTTCCGGAAATTTGAGGATCTTTAATGAACAAGATAGTTATCTTGTAGAATGGTAACAGCGGTTTCTTGACAGAAAAAGACTCAACCTGTGTAGACTGATGATAGACTTTTGTATTTCCAGTAGAAAATAAAATGAATTTCCACAGTCACAATTCTTCATGGAAGTTTTAGAATTATTTTAAGCGTATTTTTTGTTACAAATGAAGTGAATCAAACACAACTCGAAAAAATTCTCCCTATGAAGCAAGCCTTCTAAACTCAACTAAATTTCAGAATTAGCCAGTAAATGTTGGAAAACATTTGTATTAGTTCCACGCACTGAATATAGAATAAATGAAATCTGATTTTCGTCTTTTAATTAACTGGCTACTGACACAATGCGTGTGTTCAAACGTCTGTTTACACAATGGATGAATTTTCATTTTGTTTAAAAATTTCTCAAAGACAATTTTTCAAACTCCAGTATACTTTGGCAGTAGTTCTGTAACTTATCATGAAACTATTTCATATACATATATTTTAAAGTATTCTGGTTTTGTACAAAATTAAAACTATTAAATTCTAGTAATATATAGATAACAGAAGTTTTTATGAACACGTACGAATCATGAAAGGGGTGAGACAGTTCTCAATGTTAACTTAGTATCTGTCTCACTTGTTACTCCCTTCTTAAATATTCTTCCATGACCGATCATTGATGTAATGCAGTGGTGACAGTATGCTTTTTAACCCAACTAAGTTGAGGGGTTTTTGTTTCTTCGTCAACCTTCACCTACTTGACTTCATTGTGAAACATTAATAGTTTTAAATTTCATTTTGATCAGCTGGTATTGTTTTCTCAGCTCTACTAAGCTATAGCTCAGTTTAACTGGGGAGCATTGAAGACTGATAACTGTTTATTATTATTTATCCCTTGGGTTCCTAATGGAACAGAGGGCTTCAGTAGCACGTCTCCAGTCAACTCTGTTCTCTACAATCTACTGAACCTGGCTCCACGACTGCCCACAACCTCTCATTTCCTCCTCGCACGATCTCCTCCATGTCACCCTCACCACGGACGCCCAGATCTTCGCTTCCCATTGGGGTTCCACTCGACGGCCTGACCTGGCGTGTGATGTCCCCAGTCGGTCTTCTCAGTGTATGTCTTGTCCAATCCATCTCCACTTCCTTCCAGTGCATATTTGTTGAGTGATAGGTTCTTGGTTGGTTCGTTACCAGAGTGTGTTCCTTGTTGCTTATTCTTATTATTCTGCCAATCCATCTGATCTTCAGTAACGAGCCAGTGTATGTGGCAGTTGTTGATGAATGTCTGTAGTTTGTTGGAAATCCCTTTGTAACGCGCCAAGTCTCTGAACCATCACTTGGGAGCACTGACTTCACGTTGGTGTTGAAAATCCGAATGTTGTTCACAATTTATGCTGAGTGCACTGCAGTAGATCTCCACATTGGTTTCAGGCTAATGAACGCCTGTCTTGCTGTCTTTCCGATGCTGGCTACTTTGACGTCCTCGTCTTTGCTGCCTGTAGTTGAAACAGTGCTGCCTGGATAGGTGAAGGAGGTTACTTCCTTTAAGTTTCTGCTGTTGATGGTGATTGGAGTTTGTTGTTGTTGGTGGTGCGGTATCTTCATCACCTCTGTCTTCTCTATATTCACTTGAATCCCGTCTTCGCTGGCTCTTCTACCAACTTGTTGGCTTTCACCTGTAGATCTTCGAGCTTATACGATGTTAGACATAAGTCATCTGCGAACTTCAAATCTTCTAGGCTCTTTTCATCGGTCAAACAGCGTATGCCCATTTTCTTGCTCCTCACTGTTTGATGCATGACCCAGTCCACTACAATCAGGAATATCTTGGGTGATAGTAGGCTAGTAACTAGTGAACTAGTTTACCAGGCGAGGTTGATAACCGTTTACTCTTTTATAAAACCTTTTACCTAATTAGAATATATTCCATTCTGTAACTATTACTTGGATGCTCGGGATGCACAGGACAGCTTTTCTCCTAGAAAGTCACACTCCTAAATATTTATTTTTTAATAAATGTTATGTAGTCTTCGTTTCATTACGAGTAATTTTCTATCAAGACTAGAATATATCTTTTGCTCAGAATTTTGTAACGAGATTTTAAAACGCTTAATAATTGAAATTATTTTTAGGTCTCTGATTATTCTGACAATTCTGTTCGTCTGTTGTCTGTAACTACCATTTCTAATGAACATGAAATGAATTCCGCTTCAGTTAACTCTAAAAATCCATTAAACACCAGTGATCATTGTTATCATTTGGAGAATACTTTATCGTATGCATTGAGTAGTAATCGGAATGAGATTTATCCAAGTTAGTATACGTTTTTCTATTGTTATTTTTCAGTCATGATGAAAATTTTAGCTTGAATATCAATCCTTTGATACATTTATTCAATCGTTATACAAGACATTACAGTGTTATAAAAGATTTCTGTTAACACTTCGTCTAAGATTGCCTCATTCAGATCATCAGCAAGAAAGATTGCTGGTAATTACTTGAGTTTTTGATATCCCACATTGTATTCTAGTTTCATCAACTGGTCAATACATATACATTTTGTGATTATAGTGTAGAGAATTTCACTTGTATGGTAATCTTCAATCTTCATACTTTTGTCATTAACTTGGATATTCACTTTCCCGTCAACTTATTTTGATAAATGAGGATTTACCAACTACCGTAGCTGTTTTTGTTAAACCAAAGCCTTTTCTATTTCTGAAGAAAACGAAGTGTCTACTATGTTGTTACCTGTATTATCCTATTGTTGACTGGACCGAATTGATTGGTCTCTAATTATATATGAGCTGCTGCGTGGATGTGTCGATAGTGACTGTGTTTCAATACAGGTAACAACATAAAAGCTATACCCGTCACACAAGAAGTGGCTGTCATGACTCCGTGGCTTAGTGGATAACGCTCTGGCGTTTGAAACAGTCGGTCTCGGGTTCAAGTCCTGTCGGCGACAACATTGCTGGGTACATCCAGCTGACGTGTCCTTGGTAGGACAAAACTTGCGCTATGGGTTTCCCTGCTAGCAGTTATCCATCACTGATATGAAAATCTATTCTGCGTGAAGTCTCAAGTTTACAGATGGCTACAAAACCGTGAGAGAGATTGTCAGTAACGTCATTTTATGTAACTTTAATGAACATGGCATGATTTCAATTGAGAATGTGTACTACATATCAATAATCCGCTTCATGACCAACAGAATAAACTTCTGAGTAATCTGAGCAAACAAAGCTTACGAGTGTTGAATATACATATATTCCCATTTGGGTTCCACTCAAGGGCATGGCGCATGATGTCCCCAAATGGTTTTCTAAGTGTATCCTCAACCTAATCTTTATGGCATTCAGGACTTCTGCTTTAGTCGGAGTGTTTGTGTTCACTGGCAATTCTGTGGTTGGGCTGCTAGCGGTATTTCTGGACGACTTGCAGGTGGTGGCGGTGGTCGATTGAAGAGTTTTATGAAAAGGTCAACCCATTATTTCCTTTGTTTCTCCTCTTTGGTAACTAGCTTTCCTTCATTATCTTTCATTGGTTTCCTCTGCGTTGATCTCTTCCCTTCCAGATAGTAATCTGGTTGTCTGATATAGTGTTGTCAGGACTTTGCTACCATTAGCCTGTTCTGTCTCACCTGCCAATGTGTCGTAGAAGTATCTTTTGTCTTTGCGCACACTTATCTTCACTTTTTTGTCCACTATTGTGTTCCATAGGTTGTGTTCAGTTCCTCTTTTCGTTGTTCATCCCGCATTGCACTGGCTCATCTCCCTCACCATCTTCCTCTCCTCTGTCAGTTTCGATGTGTGTCAAGAACTATTTCCTGTCGTGTTTTTCTTCCTTCCTAATACAGTTATGCAGGTTCCCTTCCACATAGCTCTCAAAGAGTTCCAGTGTTCTTCCACACAGGTTTCTTTAGGGATATTGCCTAATGTCTTCCATTCCTTCCTGATGACTATCTGACTGACGTGAAGATATCGTTCGAAGTTTCATCCTTCAGTTTCTGTTCTGGGTGTTGAACTTGAACTGTGGTCTATCATCACCAACTTCTTTGAGGGCTTTCAACTTGATTTTGAAGGTAGGTTCCTTGTACCAGATAGTGGTGTCAACCTACATCTGCTCCCCTTCTTCATCTTCTCTCCAGTAAGCTGTGTCTGTACTTTCTTCATATTGAGATGAAGTCGATCTGATTTTTAGTGTTTCCTGGTGTCTGGTGAAATCAAACCCATGTCACTTTCTTTGTGAATATCCTTGATGTTGTACACGCTGCCTCCAATCACCAAGTCATCAAGTGTGCAGAATTCTGCAAACACTTCTCCATTCTCAGTCATCGTTTCACTGAGTGCTTCTCGACCCATGATCAGTTCTCTTCCAATGTTGTCTGCTCCCAGTTTGGCATTCATATCTCCCCACGCATTAATATTTTGATGTCGCCAACTGGGGTGGAGTCTTGTTCATTAGTAATTCCAGTTGGCTGTGGAATTCCTCCTTCTTCTCTTGATCTGCATTATTTGTAGGTGCGTAGCGTAGCATTGTATGATTGTTACTCTTCTTCCTTTTGAACTGAGCCTTGTTGTCATGATCCTGATGCTGGAGGAGATTGGTTTTCATTGCATGAGAGAGAACCTTCGATGTTCTTTGGGACATCATGATAGCCACTCGAAAATTCAGTGTGCTGTGCTCATGGTTGTCATCTGGGTGGCAATATCGGAGTAGATTATTGACTCCTCTCAAGTTGACGGGTTGGAGAGTCCACTTCCACTGCATCTGGTTTCGCAGATTCCCAGTCTGGTACTTCCATGCCATACCTTCTCATCTCTTTTGCAGTCTGGGAAGCCTTGCTAGGTTCAAACGTTGTTCGGACATTATATGTCGCCATGTTTACGTTTGCTTTCACCGAGAGAGGAGAAGGCACACTGGCTTCGCGAAGTCTCTCATCAACAGGCGTCACGTCGTCTCTCCGATTCCAGCGAGGAATTATTTTATTTTTTACATTTCCTTTGTGCTTTGAAGTTTGTTTAGCGACTGACTTGGTTTTTCAGGGTAGGGTTGTTAGCCTTATGCCTAACCTTCTCTCTTTATCCGGTTTGGACCGGCTAGTTGGTAGTGAACTAGTTAACCAGGCGAGGTTATGTGGTATATAGCTAAGCATTTAATTGAGCATGGTAGCTGGTAGAAAAAGCGAGAGAGATGGATATGGCATCAGTATTACTCACCACTCAGCAATTATTCGGGTTTATTAAGGATACCTGCAAGAAGAGGATACTGAGTGAGACCATCACCGACAAGGTTGGGATCCTGACAACCAAGAGCAGATGGTTAGAACGTTAGGTGAAACGTTTCGAAGTGTAGTCCCAGTAAACCACAGTAACACTCCATCTGCTCAACATTCAGCCCGAAGCTGAAGGGACGTAGATGTGTATCCTCCAACTGTCCTCGAGTTTGAGGAGGCTGTTTTGAACCTGAGACGACGCATAGCAGCAGGACTCGAAGGTTTACTGCCACAAGTTTCCAAGGATAGCGTTTGGAAACTAATGGGTAGAGTAACAGAAGCACTAGGCAGTGTATGGGAATCGGGGTAGTTACGCCAGACTGGTGTAAATTGCTTGACATTCCAGTTTATGAGAAAGGAAAGAGACATCTTTATATCAAAAGAACGGGGTAATCAGCTTGACTAACACAGATTTTGGGGTCCGTAGTAATTCTAAGCCTGACGAGAACTCAAGATCATCAAATTCGAGCTCAACAGGTTTCAGGTAAGGACGAAGCTGAATTGATCACATTTTCACGCTTCGACAGGTTGTAAAACACAAGCATGCTTAACGGACTCCAACTCTTTCTATATTTCTTGACGTGACGGTGGTATTTGACTCTACCGACCGAGAAGTTTTGTTGCAGTCTGATTGTAAAGAAAGTAACGAGGATGTATGTATTTATGCCAATCATGTACCTTCTCTTCTAACTCATGAAGTCGTATAAGGGCTTATGTGGAGTTGTTCTTCGAACGGATGATAACCAGTGGTATTCGCCTGGGATGCCTACTATACCCGTCCTCATTCAACCTCGTTATAGATGTATTATTGAACATAGCCGTTATTACCTCAGTAGGTATTTCCGTAGAATTCTAAGTGTATTATGGAAGGTGGGGCGGTCAATGTGATTGTGGATCTTTATCATCTTAATTGGCGTGGATATGTTTGCACACACCGATCCTCCACCCGACGTCGACGTATGATATCTGATGTAGTATCAGGTTGAAAGAGACTTGGGATGAGGAACAACATTGTCTGAAGCCTTTGACTGTTGGTCTGAGCAGTTTGTTGTAGGACGTGGTCTTTTTGGATGGGGTTCTAGGGGGAACAAGAATCAAGTGTTCAAGATAGTTATCGATGTTGCTGAAATCCAGTTGCAATAACGCACATATACGCACCATTAGCCATCTTCAAAGTCTAGAATCTTTTGTCAGTCTTCATCTATTTATTCCATTGCTTCATATACATTTGTCTACTTTAACATCACCTTTTCTATTCACGCGTTATTTTTATGTTGGTATGAAGGGGAACCACTTTAATTTATGTGCTCCTCTTAGTGATTCCATATTTATGTTCCTCTGAGTCGAGCACTTTGAGAAATGCAGTAACTAGTCATTCTGACCATTTCTTGTACATGAAGTCTCTTCATGATCGATATGCAGACTAGATATATTTAGAAATGTTCGTTGATAACCTTCCTAAGTCAGTGCCAAGTTTCCTGAAAATAACGTTTAGATTAGTTCTTTCAGTTTATTATTTTTGCATTTTCCGGTTAAAAAATGTTTTAATGATTTTCTGAGTGTAATAATGTGAATGCTGATATATAAATACACTTCGAGCATTGATCACTTTTCATATAAGAGTGATTCCAAAGGTTTGTAGACTCTAATGAGAATAACAAACCATCGTTATCTTCTACAATTCTATATCTTTTCAGTTCGACGTCATTTGTTCTGTTAACGAAGACTTACAGGAATGTCAATTTATCATTTTAAGTGGAATTAATGTCATCGGATAGATGATTTATCAGTTACTGAGGGTTTGATACTGATTGTTCATTGGTCAGAAAAGTATCTTCTAAATGGCATATTGATTTTAGAGTCATTTGCTTTTTGACAATCTAGAATTATTTCTACTGCTAGTATAATTTTAGTCAAGAGAGCAATAATTTCAAATGACACCGTAACATTATCATGGTTTATTTGAATTTTTTTTCTTTTGTACTCAAAATAAAAGGAAGCGGATGTTAAGCGATAAGATCAGCGAAACTTTAAAATCGAGTTTTTATCGCTGAACAAACTTTGGGTTAGATTTATAGGAAGCATAACTTTTGATCATGGTTTGCTATGAAATGAAGGGAGGAAAGTCTGCTTAAGTTCATATGCTACTGAACCTACTTCACAATTTGTTCTGATTGAATAATATTATTGAATTGATTGTTTTTTTTTAATTTGCAAATTGGATCTGTTCTATTTATGAGTAAGCGGTCTGTTGCCTAATGGTTGTAAGGTTTTGAGTATAAAGACTTCTGTAACCGTTTAATAGTTATTCTTGAACATTTATGTTAAACCATCACTTATTGAAGTTAAAATGGAAGATGATGAAAATCTTTCTTACCAGAAGATGTAGAAATAGTAAACAGAAGGAACTCTTAATCTATGAAGAAGTTTTAGGAAACTTGGTATTCACTCAAATAAGTTATCTATCAATCAACATTACCACATGTCAATGTAAACGAAACGTTACAGACAATAGGCCAGTAATCATACCATTTAATTTCTTTATTTCTAATAACAAGTTTGACTCATGCTAAGCAAATGATTACTAAGACTAGGCAATCTATTTAGTGGCTATTTTCAGTATAATATCCATGCAACTTTCAAGAAATTCAATAATTTCAGTTCCGACTGCAAAGATATGTGAGAATCAAGTAATTTAGCCAAAACAACATAAAAATCATTTCCATGAACAACTTTTTCTATACTTACATTGTTTAGAGCAAATTGCTGCATTTGTACAACATTTCATTTGTTCACTAAATTTATCTTTATATCTAATAACTATTTGAACCTTAACGCAATATTTTTCTATTGCCTTTCTATGCAGCATATTTGATCTTTTTGCTTCTCTCATTATCTGTCTAAAGTTCCATGTCGAAGTGAATATTATTTTACTGAACACCTGATATGTATCAAGCAAGATAATATACTGAAATGTGTTTTGTTTCATTGACATGGGGGGAAACATAATGAGTAAAGAAATGGTCATGACTAGATAGACAGAATAATTGAACAACTTGCAACCAAGCAGAATAGTATTATAATTTAGGTTGCTATAGATTGAAAACAGTATGCGGCAAAAACTTAAAGGATCTAAATGGAAGAAATTAGGACTATATTATAGGTAATCACCATATAGTGTACAGCTGTGTTTAATTAGTGCAAAATCTCAATTTTTAATCAATAAGTCATGAATTCGAATCCCACTATGTCTATAAAACTTCTGACATCTAGTTAGTAGTTGTATTAGCCCTTACTTAGCGATTTTGATGCTGTAACCGAATGCACGTGCTCATGCTTGACTAGTTCGGTCCTTTTACGATATTCTTGTTGTTATTTTTAGGCATATTAAACTGTGGATTCCCTTGATTTAGTTGACACAAATATCCAGTTATATTGGATTTCAAAATAATGTATTATTACAGTAGTATCCATCACTAACTGACATCAGTTGGAGAACTGATGAAGACCGTTTCGTCCTCTGCGGCAGTACGTACCTACGACTCCTCCAGGGATTGAACTCAGGACCTACAGATCTTGAAGTAAGCGCGCTAATCATTTAGCCACTGGTCCGCAGTTTTCTACTTCCGTCAGTTTATATTATAGCGGGACTGTCTACCAAAGTGTTCAGTTGTCATCCGCTTCACTTCCTACTGGCTGACTCCACAGTTCACGGATTCTCATTAGAGTTTCGGGTTATCCATCTGGTAGTATATATCACATAATGACATCAAATGAAGAACAAGCTGTTTAGTACTCCTAGGTTTTTAATGGTTCTCCAACTGATGTCAGTCGTTGATGAATACTGCCTTAAAAATGAAATCCCCACAAACCTCAAACTACAGTGTATTGTGTTGTGTTACTATGAATAGCTTAATATCTGATGAGAAGTGACATTACTCCTTAATATTTATCATATTCATGAAATTGGTATTGGTACTGTGTTTGTTTTTAGGCAAAAAAAAATAACATTCATCGAGGAAGGCGTATCTCATCTTTATCTTAGAGTATTGTTGAATGCCTCAATATATGGAATTGTTACACGAATACGCATATTTTCACGGTGATTGTGCTAACACTTATGTACATCGTTGTATGTGTTCAACTTCATCTAACTGCTATCTATTTCTAATAGGGCGTAAATAATTAAACATCTTTACTATCACCTTTTTCTTACTGTGCATTTGTATTTTTATGAGTTTTTTTTATATGAAAACAATTCGCTCTACAAAAACTTGCCACAACCACTTTATTTTTTATATTCAATGTTATTTATTACGATTATGATTTCATTTCACCAAAGAGTTTTATTTTTACTTTTTATACGATGCATAAATATATTTATTATTTTGTTTAAAATATGTATGAATACAATAATTTGTTTCCCAAAACACTGAGAACTTTTCCCTTCACATCACAGTTTGACTTAATTTGCCCAATAACAGGAAGAACTATACAACTATTAGCACTGTATAATGTAAATTTGCCGGTAATACAGACTCAACGCCTGTTTAAACATAAAGATTCACCCATCATAACAAGTATATCGTCTTTCAACTGTTGTTGCCTATTTGATTAGTTGTAATGATGGATTGTGGCTAGCAGTAGAGTCAAGGATGCGCATTTCGTCCTGTTTGGGACTCGTCAGCTGGATGTGCCTGCTTCCCGGTGAGTGATGTTGATCCCATTGGGATTCGGACTCGGGAGTGATCGCTTCAAACGCCAGAGCGTTATCCACTACACCACCGAGCCATGATAGCCACTTCTTGCTCGACGGGTATAGTTTTTAGTACAGTTGTTTTTATATCATACCGTCAGTGATTGGACCGAACTGAACGGTCTGTATTGGCATGTGGGATCCTGTGCGGATGCCTCGATATTACCGGTGCTCTAATGGTAGTTATGATGGATTGTACCTAGTAATGGAATCCAGGATGCGCGTTTCGTCCGCACAGGATCCCATATGCCAATAGTCAAGCAACTCATTTGAAAGCATATACTTCGTAACCTCTGAAGTACTTAATATAACCCGGGGTTCGCTGGTTCGAATTCGCCCGCGGTCCAAATTTTCATTTTACCTCCAATCATCACCCAGTACTTAATATAAATAAGTTACATACAAAGACGTTAGTGTAGAATGCTGCTTAAAAGTATATTAACTGAAGTTATTAGGTTTTACTACAGCATTCGGCGATATCCTCTTCTGCAGCTGTACAGTCGCATCAATATTTTTTAATCAATAAATTTTATTAATTTTTGTTAATGACAGTAATATAGGAATAACGATTACGTAAGAAATGAGAAAAATGGTTGGCAACGTAAGTAAATGTGAGTTATAATCAAGAAGTAAAGAATTGACAGTTGTCAGTGTGCAAAGCGATGAAAATCTTGTAACTGAGCTAAACGAAAATTGTTAGCCTAATAATATGAAAATCAAAAGATAAGTTAGGCTTAAGAAGCTAAAACGTTTAAGAGTTAATAAGTAAATAGGGATGAAATGGTAAAGTTGTCACTGAATACACTATTCTGGCTTCGATTTTTGTATTAGCAGAGCTTCGGAAATGCTAAGTAAATGTATTATCACGCTCTTGGAAAATTTTGTTATTTTTTTGTTGACTTATGTAAATGAATCTTAAGGGACTGTGTCCGCTCTCGGCCAAGTGTTGTAGTATGCGGATGTTACCTCATCTATGCTGACCATTGGTGAGCTATGGGGTAGGTGTTGACGTTAGACAACTTGTCTTCGTGAATCTAGCTCAACTGGGTAGTGAATCGATACATACACTTTAAAGTGGCTAGCAATGACAGTTTTTCTTTCGCACACGAGTTTACCATTAAGCAACTAAAATTAGCGGTTTTCAGTGTGGCAACAAAGGACAATATCGCTGAAACAAATTTGATCCCTGAAGTCTTTATTCATCTTTATCACTGTGATGACTTTTGAGTTATGTCACTGTGGTAATAGTAGGGCTTCTGTATAGCACATTTTATACAAACATTCAGTAGTAATCTTTACTACTTTTGTAAATTAGTTTACATGTTGAACACCTACACGTATCCTTAGTATACGAATATTTTATCTCCTTCATTTTTCAAGCCTGATATATTTTGAAGTATTTCCTATAAATTTCTGGTGTTGTTTAACGTCTGTATACTAAATGAGTGATTTAACATTATGTATACACTTGAGCCAACCATTTCTGTCTTTAGTTATCAAATGAGCTGATTAAAAGGAATAAACGTCGATTTTTGTTGTGAATGCAATATGAGGATTATCACAAAATTTTCTAATATATTCAACACAAAGCAGTTTGCAATTAATGCAAATTGAAACTGAATATACGGGCTTATTAAATAGCACACCGAATCAATGGAACAATACATGTAATACCGTACATATTTTACTTGTTACTGACTTTTAGATGTGATACAGAAAAGGATTTGGTTAGTAGCACTTGTATATCGTTTTTGTTTAGTGGTTTGTATCACTATAGATATTATGGTATCATCTGAAAAAATATACAAATTTTGATGTGTACTACATTTTTGTTTATTCTTAGTTCGAAATTGTTCGTAGTAACTGACTACTAAGACTATGTAACTCCTGGTTATCACAATGAAAAGAGAGTTTAAATGTTCAAGATATGATAGTTTTACGGCTACACAAACTTCTATGAATTGCGTTATTACTTATCCTGTTGAGGTATACCACGCTGATAGAAAAATCCTATTTCTAGCATATCATTGCAATCTGATGTTAAAATATAGCGTTTATTTTGTTGCATTTCATTGGGGAAAGAAGGTGTGATGTGAATAACAGCACTGAGATTTTCGTCATCCACTAAGAATTCGCCTAAATTAGTCTCTATACACTATACGTGTAAGTTTTGAATGAATCATATACTACACAGTCTATACTAAACAGTCTCACTTGAAAAAGTACTTAGGCAAGCCTACAATCAGGGTAACTTCTGTTTTGCTGATCCTATGAGATGGCATTATCTAGGATGCTGTACCGGCTGAACTCATTGGTATTTATGAATGCATATAGTTATTAAGGGTGGTGTAAGCACGAAAAGTGGTTTCTATTTAATTAGTTTACTGGGTCATTAAATTTGGTTGGTTTTGTTGGGTTTCAGTTCTTTTCGATGAGAGATTCTTATAACTCCTTCACTGCTATTACTTTTTTCAACAGAAAAGAGATGTTGAGTTTCGGTGAGTTTATGTTATTTGCATTTTAGCAAGTTAACTGAACTTAAAGTCAACTTAACACGACATTGCATTATTTTAAGCTGTCAATTATCTTATTCGAAAAGCAAGTAGAAATCAACAAAGTGATCTGTGAATGTATGAAGAGATTCGTGAAGCTGAAATTTTCTGACATTCAAGTCATTAGTATAGTGTAAAAAGTGAAGATGCCTATTCACTTAAGATGGATTTCTATCTTATATTTAAGATTTACACTTACCAAACTATGTAGTCCGAATTCTCGTGTTACTCAGACGAATATCTGGCAGGTTAGCTTGTTGCTAGCTGTTTGAAAAGCATAGACAAAGAATGATATAGAACTGCATATAAAAGTTCACATAATGTAGCAGCGTGGTGAAAATGAATAGAATAGGACAGAATTATTCAAGTAATCTATAAACATGACCTTAATGGTTAGGATATATTTCTCAATAAATAGTATCGTTAGTGTTTGAGATAACAGTGTTTCTGCATTGCTGTGTCACCTTATGATTCATGACTTCTAAAACCTGATTGACTTTCTCTAAGATATTGAATGAACCAAATGATGGCTGAGTAGTGTTATTTGGAACAGGGTCTTACTTACACTGTAAGCTAGTTTTTCTTAACTTTGATTTTTATTGCGAAGTGACTAGTCACTTTTACGATAATCTACTCGTTCAGGACGCATTAGAGTTTTGCTTCCAAATCATTTTTTTGATATGTGAATGTAAGGTCTTCGAATAATTTCACTGAGAGGTAACGCAAAGACTACAGTGAACAAACTTGTTTTCTGTGATAATTTCAGAAACTGTCCAACTGTAGTTGGACGTAACAAGTATTTACATACAACGGCAAAAATGGAATTTTTTGTAAAAACCGACGGATGTTTATTGGTGTAGCTATCGAATATTGAGTGCTAAGCAATGACCAAAACCCATCAATCGGGTTCTCAATGTTGACGTTATGCTTAGTGATTCACATCTGCGGTGTGCTTTATTTTGGTGCCAGATGTCAGGAACTAATTGACAAGGAACTCCCATTTTTTAAAATTAGAATTCTTTGTCTGTTGTGGTAAAGGATGAACTAGGAGAATAAAATTGGCGTAAGATGCATTAAAGTATTTGTTAGTAAAAATAAACCATGCAGGTCAAATAAAATTAGGAAGGTTCACCAAAGTATTGTTTGTTCAATTCCCTAGCAAACTTGACAAAGAGGAAAATCTGTACGTATAAGATGAAAAGACCAATGGAATCCTGCAAAGTAGCTAGTAGTTTAGAAATATTAAATTGAACGAGAATACAAGCCTCCTGCATCAGGCGAATACTGAACAGTAAGTGAAGTACTACCGCTTTCGTTGGTGGCACTTATAAGCGGAAGTGCAGAACCAAGAATAACGCCTACATAGCAGCTGTGAAAAAAGGTATCAAGATGAAACTGAAATGCTGAATATTCGGATATCTTTTTGGGGAACTACTAAGGCGAGACGAAGTTTTTACTATTTTCTGATATGCTTGTAAATAGGGAGCAACATCACTAACTAGGAGGCAGGTACATCTAGCTGACGAGTCCCAAGAAGGACGAAATGCACATTTTGGATTCCACTGCTAGCCACTATCCAACATTACTACAATAAGGAAGCTTTTTCTCAAAAAGTAAAGAGTAAAAACTAAAGTCCACCAAATCGAACGTTCTCGATCAAGTAGGTACTCACGACTGTGTTATAGGTGGGATAATTTAAA